AACTTCCCACAAGAGACCAAAATCCTGAGATACACAGTCTCTTATATAAAATGGTGTCGTATTTGCATGTCAGCTATGCAATCCTCCCATACACTTTAAATAAACTGTAGATTACATATACTTTATACAATGTAAATGCTATGCAAATGGTTGTAGTACTGTGTTATTTAGGGAGTAATCACAAGAAGCTTCTGTAATTCTTCAGTATGGGGCCATTTTTCCCACTTATTTCCTGGAGTCCACGGACGCAGAAGACACACACGTGGAGGACCACTGTTAAAGTGCTCCACATGAGGCAAGAGGGCGAGGAGAGAATGGGGGAGGACGGCGGGTGGGAAAGACAGACCCACGGACAGTTCTTCCAAGGATGCTCCTGATGAGGGCAAGTGTGTGACCACAACCCCCCCACGAGCCAGACCTCGGTGCTGGGGGGGTGGAGGGCAGACTGCACGCTCTGTGTGCTTCCACTTCTGGTATCAGATGATCCTGGAATCAGAAAATTTTAAGTTCCTACTTTCCAGGCCCATTCGAAAGCTAATCTTCTACAAGGCCCCTTATATCCTCAGGCTCAAAGGATCCCTTAACATTTCTGCATAGAAGAAACTAAAGAACTAAAAGACCAAACTCAGGTGGGAAGCAAGGGGCAGATCCAGAACACCAAGCCTTCTGTCCCACCATGTGCTCCCTCCGCTCTCCAGGGCAGGACAGCTTTATGCTCCTTGAGTATCCATTTCCACCCGCCTCTCCTGACTCACCTCACCTGTGTTCCCTCCTCTCACCTCGAATCATTTGGAAACCAGAGAAGCTGAGCTTGTGGGCTGCGCATGCTCTCCCCATAGCCACTCCCCAGGGAGCCCGTGATCCTGGGGTCGGTGGAGGGTCCTGATGACACTCAGGATCCCAGAAGCAGGAAAGGTGAATCTGCATACCGACATTCCTTAGGGGATACTGACCTGGCAGACTTTTCTTTCCCTGTGTTTATGGAGGCAGCAGGGAAGAGATGACCCAAACAAGCAGAAGGGCACACAGTGAATTCAATGTTCTGTGACATGTGGTGTCTGGTTTCCATTCCCTCCATGCATGGCCAGCACACAGCAAGAGTGGGAACCAAGGGTCTGTGGGCTCCTGCCTATGCATGGAGAGGGGAAGGAGAGGGCTGGGAATGTGCTGGGATGCTTCAGGAGTTTTTCAGAAGACAAGACCTAGGAAGGAGCCAAAAAGGAAGGCCAAAGGGTTTTCTTCCCAGGGCTTGCCCATGCCTGAAAATCCTGTTTTATAAATCTGTTGCCATTCATTTTTTAATCTTTTTTTTTTTTTCCAAATCTTTCTTCCAGCCATTGTCCAATCTTTGCAAGTATGTGGATACCTGGGTGGGAGGGGGGGAGTATCAGGTTTGGTTTTGGTTTTGGTTTTGGTACTGGGGATTGAACTCAGGGGCACTCAACCACTGAGCCACATCCCCAGTCCTATTTTGTATTTTATTTAGAAACAGGGTCTTGCAGATTTAGAAATAGGTTCTTGCAGATTTGCTTAGCGCCTTGCATTGCTGAGGCTGGCTTAACTCACTATCCTCCTGCCTCAGCCTCCTGAGCCTCTGGGATTACAGGTGTGCACCACGGCACCCAGCAAAAGTATCAGTGTTTATCCTAATTTCCCCAGCATGGCCAAAAGGATCTAAATTGTTGAGGGCCAAGTTGCCCAGGCTGCCCTTGAATTTAAGATCCTCCAACCTCAGCCTCCTGAGTCACTGGGATTACAGGCATGCACTACCACACCTAGCTTATCATTTTGAAATTTAATGGTACTAGTGAAATTGCTGTTAAGGCACTGAACATTAAGATATTTTTCTGGGGAGCCCTGGCTTCCATTGTGCTGAGAACTGTTTTCTTTTCATCATATCCCTTCTCAGTGTGGGTCCTAGGCTCAGGCCAATCCTCTAACAAAGGACAACCCACCATGCCCTTTAGTCGACTGTGGTGTAGGTGAAGCCTCTTTGGGAGACCTGAACAAGAAGGGGCAACAGAAAGAAAGGGAGGAAATCCTTTGTCATTTCCCCTTTTGTTCCTTATAGGGCTAAAAGAAAACCCTAGGCCGCTCTGGGAGCCTTTGGGGACTCCCAAGGTTACCTCTAGATCAGGATCTGGGCCTAAGTGGTGGGGAAGCCTGTGGCCATCCCTGCATGGTGTTCTTGCCTATTGTGCCTGGGAGCCCCCAGGAATGCCTGCCAGTTTTCAGAGGTTCCCACTACAATTCTGGCCACATCTCTCAAAGATGCTCAAATTCTCCCCTTTGCACTCCTGACCCGTGTAGACCTCAAGAAGGTGGACTTGGGTTCTAAAAAGAAACCTGTGGTCCCTGGAGTCCATTGGGAGTTGCAAGGTTTAGGGAAGTCTGTGGGCTAATAAGCAGGAGACAGACAGAATGCAGAGCGGCTTTGCACCTGCCCAAAGCAAAATGCAGCATGCTTCCACCTCATCTTTGGCATTTCCCTACCCCCTCCCAGAGTGAGCTAAATGCCACACTTCATTGATTGGTCAATCAACTAGCAATGTGTGATACGTGGGTGTAGGAGCTGCAGAGAAAGATGGGTGAGAAGAGTCAAAATACAACACAAGCCAAATGGGAGGGGCTTATATATAAAGAAAAATGTACATTTTCTTTTCCTGTGCCCCGCTGGGACAGCCCCTCCTCTCGCAAAGCCTTCACAAAGAGAAAAGGGAAGGGCGTGGGTACCCAGTGCCGGGAAGCCCTTTCTTTATGTGGTGCTGACCTCTAGAGGATTCCAGTTAAAAAGCATCTCGAAGGACCAACTTCACTTCCCTGCAGGTGTTTCCACTCCATGTTGTTTCAGTATTTCATTAGAAAATATCTTTGCTACTTAAATGCTCTCTCCTACCTTTTCTTTAGCTACCGACTTACAGTTTGCTCAGATTTTTATAAATGTCACGGTTTTCTACTTCAAAGAGGGGAAAAGGTGGATCAATGATTGGGACAGTATTTCAAAGTTGTTTTTTTTTTCTTTTCTTTCCCTAGCATGGAACTAAGAGGAAAAAGGTGCAGTGCCAGCTAATTCAGGTTGCATTTCTCCAGTTTCCAAACTACCAGATGGCCACGTTTGCAAAGAGGAAAAAAGAATATTCATTCATCCCAATTCAGCCGGGCACCGGGGAAAACTATTCCCCAGATACTCCTGCCGGTGCATGCGTGCACGTGCTTGTACACACACACACCCATCCGCTTGGTCTAACCCTGGTGCAGGCCCAAACAGTGTATAGTGGGTTTTGCTTTATTTCTTGGGTTGCACATCCATCCACACGTGTGCATAATAAGCACTGAGGACAACGTGGTATCACACTTGGCCTGATTTTACAATGGAAACCAGGTTTGTTTCTAAAGGAAATGAGATCCTATTGCATCCTGGAGCAAGACACTCTGCTCCTCCTATTTTGGTACAGCTTCTGAATTCTTATTACTGACCACAAGGAGAAGGGAAACACAGGAAGGCAGGAGAGGGTGTTGAGGGATTGACATTTTGGCTCATTATACACCCATGCCACCAGCCTGGGCCTTTGTTTCTAATAAGGGATCCTCTGGACACCAGGCTCAAACTGGAGAACAGTTAGTCAATGCCAGTGGCTCTGGGAGACTTGTGTCCCTTGTGAATCACATCCACCCTCCCTGCTGGCTCCACAGCCAGGTCAAGGCGCACTCCTAATGCCAGTGTCAGAAAGGGGCTCAGCATTGCGTCCCCCACTCTTCCTTTTACAAATGAGGAAACAAAGGCTGGGTGGGCACAGAAGGGAGGGGGTCACAGTCAGTGAGGGCCAGAACCTTTCGCCCCGCCAACCACTTTACAGAATGATTATCTACAAAAGGGAATGTATTTTTAATTTGGTGTAGGGGAGGGTAGAGGCTCAGGCCACACCCAGCTTGGAAATATATGACTAATACCAGTCCCTGCACTCAAAGGGGCCATCTGCATTTTATAAAATACATTCACAAGAGCAATCAAATTGCAGTAAAAAAGAGATTCCCTCATAAGAAAGGCTTGGTCTACACCAGACCTGTGAGGTCTAGAAAGGTTTATGAATGGTCCACCTCTTTGAAAACAGCCACACCAGAAAACAAGAACCCCAAATCAAGTTATTTAAAACACACACAGGAGCCTCTGAGCTCTCTATTAAACCACTCTCAATCTAATTTAACAATCTATAGAGACCAATTTATTTGGAAAAAGAAATTTACTCTTAATCAAATCATGAAACTTACCGCCAACTTTCAGATGTATTATTTAAGTGCTATTGTGTGTGTGCATGGGTGTTTAGTTTAGTGACAGTTGGGAGGAAAGTCACAGGGAAATGGTGTCACAGAATGGCCACAGGATACAGATTTCTAATTGTGCCATAAAGGACTGCTAACTAGGTTAGAAAAAAGTAAGTCCGCAGGGCATGGTGGCACACATCTGTAATCTCAGTGGTTGGGGAAGCTGAGGCAGGAGGATCATGAATTCAAAGCCATGCTCAGCAAAAGTGAGTTGCTAAGCAACTCAGTGAGACCATGTCTCTTAAAAAAAAAAAAAAAAAAAAAAAAAAGATAGGGCTGGAAATGTGGCTCAGTGGTTCAGTGCCCCTGAGTTCAATCCCCAGTACCCCCCCAAAAGTCCTCACATACTAAAGTACTAGTTCAGAGGTAGTATAGAAATTTACTAAACACCAGCTACAATACTGGTGAGAGCTATGGATACCCCCAAACACATATATTATTAACCTCTGGATCTGTTTTATGTAACCACCACCTCCTCCTCCTCTTCCTCCTATTCTTCTTTTATTTTTTTTTTTTGGCTTACATTTTTTAATTGGGTGACATTCTTTTTTTTTTTTAACTACCTCCTTCGTAATCTCTCTTCTCAGCTTTCCTTCCACCTCCACTTCTGCCCCTGGTACTTAAGTGTCCATTAGGACCAAACTTTGTGGAGAGAGTAAACAAGAGACACACACCAGCAGGGTTTGGAAGGCTCTTTAATAGCAAGCGTATGGTAATTACATCGTTGGATGAGATCCTCCCTCCAGGGAAGGGAGGAGGGAGCAGATGTGGACAGGGTGCAGGAGAGATTTTTTTTCCACTGTTCGAGGCATCTAACAAAGGGCAACGGTTTTTGGCAACCCATTTCACAGTTTTGTAATTTACAAGAGATTTCTTTCAAAGGAAATGTGAAGGCAAAGAAAGTACACACACCCTACAGGAAACACGTCTTGCCTAAAAAAAAAAACCCAAAAAAACCAAAACCAACAAAAACAATTGTTCCTTGCTTCTGCTTCTCCTGTCGATGGCTAAATGTGCTCTCATACACCAACTGGGACTGACAGGCAGATGGGTTCCAATTTGCCTGGCACTGAAGGTTTACTTCCTCCTCTACAAAGCTGACGCTTGTACAGAGTACTCTGCGACTTGATGCTTGTATCAGAAAGTACCTGGTAAAGAAATGAATCTTGAGAAACAATAACAAAATGGAAGAAAAAACCAGGGGAAGATAGTTTACCAAGAACAGACTGTCAGCTTCCTCTCTAGTACCAAACAACTTAAGTACAGTTCCAATTCAGTATTGATTTTTGTGTGGCCTGGTACACACCATGAACTGCTTGTGCCTCTTCAGCCTTCTGGTGCTGTAAGCGGGGTTTCGAACATGAAATGCTGACAGTACACTGCCATGGACACCCTGGGCTACTGGCATTCTGTCAAGTGTTAAAATTATTCCATATAAAACCTAAAAGACCTCAGCTTCTCATGTCATACCTGTTATAATAAAACCAAGAAAACTGGGTCTTTATGAAAGAAGATTATTTTTTAATGCAAAAAAAAAGTTAGGCTTCTCTGAAGATGAAGCAACCGACAGGCAGTGACATCTCTTTGGAGTCAGTGCTCACTGGGATTTTCATTGTGCTCTTTCTGCAACCCTGAAGCAGGTGAAGCAGATGGTTGTGCCCGACAAGGGCCTCTGGCAGCCCTGGTGAGACCCAAGTTGGGTTTCTGTTCTACCTGCCTGTGATGATAGCTGCTCTTGGATCTGTCAGCACTCTTGGAAGACAGGCTTCTCTGGCCGGCAGCTGGTTTTAGTAAGGGAAGGAATGTCACCAGATGTGCAGAACACCTAATGCATCTTTTGGCCTAGGGACCGGGGGTGCGGGGACATTTTTAAAATCACAAAGCCATCACCAGCACAAGGCCTTTCCTCTCAGTCCTCTCTGCAGTCAGTTCTCTGAAGCTAGGAGGCCCCTAGAGTCAGCCAGGAAAACAGTTTTCCTGCACCTCATGGGGTAACTGTCAAGGGTGCCCCCCCAACTCAAGACACCTGACTTAGACACCTAACTCCTTCATTGTGCCTATTCCTCTCCTCCCACCCCAAATGAAGTCCTGTGGATTCCTACGTGCCTCTCGCTATGCGAAGCCAGATTTGTTCATACTAGTTTCTCAGCTCATGAATTTAAACATGCCCAGCAGGTTCCTAAAATATCAACTGCACCGATGTTCTGGGATCACAGCTCCCCTAGGACCATCCACTTTGTGCTCTTATGAAACTGGAATAGTATTCAGAGACGCATATTGTGCTAGAGAACAGTTTCCGTTTATACGTGAACAATGACAGTTGCTACTAGAGAAGTTTTCTCTTAAGTACACTGGGAGCCCAATTCTGGCACCAGGACATAAGGACAATCTCCCGACATAACAGACTTTTTGTGTTCTGCTCGTGGAAGAACAATGTACCATGTGCTGCTGTGGGCCTGGGGGACACGGGTGGACACCTCGGTGCACTGAACCCATGGTGGTGCCAGGCACTGCGTGGGGCTTCACCCTCCCTGGGCCTGCAGTCCCTGCAGTTCCCTGAAGCCTGCTCCACGCATCAGACAGAGGAAAGCAACCAAGCAGCCAGAAAAAACGTCTCCATGTTTCACTCAAACCCAGGATCAACGTTTGGTGTGTTATCACAGGCATGATTTCCAGATTTCACTGCTGGCCACAGGGATCAACAAGCAATCAGCACATCCCCCACATTCACCCCCCCACACACACACTTTACTTTCTCTCTCCTGAATGACAGGGTAAAAGTCAAAGGACTTCTTTCACTGTCTTTCAATTGTTCTACATGCAAATCTCCCCTCTCAGTTAAGCTAAATGCATACCACTTCCAAAGCCTCCAATGTTGGGACACTAAGAAGCTATGCCCTCCACAGGCAGCATATGTACAGCTGAGATAAGCACATCTTCTGGGGCTTCCCTGTGCCCTCTCCTAGGAGAAACAGGATTTCATCAGCCACACAGGCTGGGGCCCATCCCAGGCTCCAGAAGTTTGGACACTCACAAATCAACACTTTCTAAAGCAGTCCACGGGGCCAGCATCCTAAGGACAGTATCTTTGGCAAGATTCCAAACACATTTCTTTTTGTGTCTCTAAGTGTCCTTGATGGTTGCTCCTACATACACACAGTTGGTTAAGCAGGTAAAGAAGGCCAGTCTTAAAAGCTGGAAGAGTAAATACCCCTGTTCCAGAGACTAGCCAAATAACTCATCAAGATCCCACAGTCAATAGCAGAGGCAAGCCAGATGTGGCAGTGCACACCTGTAATTCCAGCAACTGGGGAGGCTGAGGCAGGAGGATCTCAAGTTTGAGACCACCTCAGCCATTTAGAAAGGCCCTAAGCAACTTAAAATAAAAAATAAAAAAGGCTGAGGATGTGGCTCAGTGGGGACAGCCCGTGGATTAAATCGCTGGTACCAAAAAAAAAAGGCAGAGTCAAGTCTAGAACCTAGGTGTCTTTCCTCACCCCAGCACACAGCTGTACCTCCTAGTGAGTGTCTATGAAAGGTCCCACACCTGTTGCACCACAGAATCAATTCCCTAACACAGGCTGCCCAATCTAACTGACCGGCAGGTGCCAACGAGAGTATCCATGTGTGGGCTGGAGGGAATGTTTGAGTAAGCACACCAGAGCACTGCAGGGATGTGCACACCATCAGAGAAGGAAGTTTTAGAGGAAACAATTGGATCTGCTTAAAGCCTTTGGGGTTTTACCATGAAATAAGTCACACAGTGATCTCTCCCCAACCACTGAGGCAGAACAGAGACCAGAATTCTCAGTGAATGGCTGACCATTTCAGCTCAATTTTTATAAACAGAACATGAACATGGTGATACCAAAATGTGTCTGGTTCAAGTCTAAACATTTTTTTTGATAAGATATATTCTATAGTAACAACCATTCCATTCCCAAGCATATGTAAATTTAGATGTAAAGCCCTCTGTGTGTAAATTCCAGTTTACCTTAGAACTGGAGGTACCAAACCTGGGCACTCTCTGCAGATGTCAGCTCATGATGACCTCTGTTCAGGGCAGAGCCAGTGGGCACGGGGCAGGGCTGCTGAGGCAGGACACACCCCAATGGATGAATCGCTGAGTCTGCTTTTGCTAATAGGTTACTCTAGGGAAATTGATCTGACTTGAAATTAACCTTTAATGTGCTTTCCCAAGAAAAGAATAAAACATGGATCACTGGAGCACGGATGGAGACCACCGTGTTATTTACCAATGACAGAAAAGTACAGCACACTATTAGACCACGAGTAGCCAAGCTCCTCACAGCACCACTTAATTAAACAGAAAATGCTAAGACGATCAGGTTCACACCAACATGCCTGGAAGATGTACAAGACTCCCATGAGTTCTGTGGCCTCTGCTACTGATTTTTTTAATTCAAAATACTGACAACCTAACGGGCACATGTGTGCATGTTTGGAACATTCCCAGCCCAGATGCTAGAGGAAGTCAAGTGCTGTAAAAGAGGCATTCATTCCACATCCTACGTGATTAGAACCAGAGATGATGCCCGAGGTCCAAGAAAACGAGTATGTCAAATAGTTCCAACCTGGCATTACAGAGATGTCCCCAGTAAGCATTTGTTGGCTAAATGAAGACAGCAGTTGTTTCTGTGAGTTGTCTGAGTATCTTGATCATTAAATATGCCCCCTTTAACCAAGCCACCCAATCATCAAGTTGCCTATTTTCATGTTACTTTAAAAGTTCACTACTATTAGGTTCCTTAAAGTACTTGTTATAATTTTAAACAAATTAAAGAACGGGAGCCTTTTCTTGACTATTTTTTTTAAGAATAAAAGATTAAGAAAGTAAAGGATTCCGTTATACTTTTTAAAAAAATTTTTATCCTGGTTTATTTTCCTACTAAATTTATATATGAATCTATGGCTTCAAAGTTTAAGTGGCACTTACTTGGATTCTGGGCATTTTCTTGATTTAACAAGTGGCCATCTCATTAGAAAGACAGACGGTAAATGTCTCATTTCATATATGGGATGGTTTATAAAATGCTTAAAGAAATTGTTAGTTTTAGTCTTTCACCCCTTTATATTTTCCACTATTAGACTAAAAAGTGGCTTTGGAATTAGCATTTTTAAAACAACTGAACAAGCAAGTAACATTTATATCTAACCAGGAACCAGCTGCTATGTACCAGGTAACCAGCTCAGTGATGGCGAAACACTCCAGGCTTCTCTGCCTCTCTTACCCTCTTAATCCAAAGCTAAGTGATCATCCTTTTCTGCCCTTGTATTTGCACTTGTGCAGTTTAATGACTAGATATTTAAACTCATGCTTTATAAGCAAAACCTTTCACTTACGGACACTTAAAAGGTACATAAAAGTGCAGACTGCATTGCTTCTCTGCCATGCTGTTCCTCAGCCAGGTCACCTGCGAGGACTCAAAACACATCCTTAATACATTCAGAGTTCTCTACATTCCAGTCAGCGAACGTTAATTCTCCAACATAAACTCAAGAGAGAATAGGCAGCCACAAAAGACTCTAAATTCAAAGTGGCAAAGGCTACCAAGACAACTCCATAGAAACCCCACTGAAGCGGGACTGAAATTCAGGTCACTTCTGAGCAAAGCTCATCACAGATATTGTGTGGTCATTAAAAAGGTAATTCATTTTAATTTGGATGCTGGGAGCCAGACGTCCTGTTTTGAAGTGCTAATGCTAACCCAGGAGCACAGGACCCCACCTAGGGTACAGTGGGCTCACTCTCCTTCTCCAGAAGGTGCCCTTGGAGGTTTACTGCTGACTGACCCCCATTTGGGGGTGGTCCGCTTCTGGTTCCTCCTCCTCCACATCTGCACTGTACTCTTCAAATGCATCATCATCTGCATCCGGAAGCCCCAGTAACTACAGGAAGAGAAGGAGAGAGAAGCAGCTGTGAGCACCAAATGGACCACAGGCAGGAAGACAAGCAAAGGCATCACATCCCATTAAACAGCACCTCAAAGGACTCAACAGAGAAGCTACAATTTGTTTTCCAAGACTCAACTACTCCTACCGCTGATTTTTACTTTGCTTTTTGCAGTACTGAACATTGAACCCAGGGGCACTCTACCACTGAGCTACATCCCCAATCCTTTTTTTTTTTTTTTTTTTTTTAGTACCAGGGATTGAACTCAGAAGCACTCAATCACTGAGCCACATCCCCAGCCCTATTTTTGTATTTTATTTAGAGACAGGGTCTCATTGAGTTGCTTAGCGTCTCACTTTTGCTGAGGCTGGCTTTGAACTTGCAATCCTCTTGCTCAGCCTCCCAAGCCTGGAATTACAGGCAAGCACCACTGTGCCCAGCTCCCCAGCCCTTTTCACTGTTTATTTTTGAGGCAGGGTCTCACTTAGTTACCCAAGCTAGGCTTGAACTTGCAATCCTCCTGCCTAAACCTCCTGAGTAGCTGGGATTACAGGTGTGCACCCTGCCCCGCCCACTACCACTGTTTTTATAATTTACTGGAAGAGAATGTTAATCCTTTATGATTAGTGTCTCAAAGGCTCAGTTTTTCTGGGCAGCCTGTAGAGTCCCTTTTTTTAAGTATCAAACATGCTAGGCAAACATGCAAAATGAATTCTTAAAAAATCATTTTATGTGCATATATAAATATACCACAGGGAAGCTCACCTTTATGCAAAGTAAAAATAACCAATCAAATGTAAATAAATAGAAGAGTGAAAGGAAGTCTAGTAGAGGAAGGAGAATGGGGGAGGGCAGGGAAAAGGGGGATCATGAACTGAAGTTGAATTCCATGCATGTATGAATCTGTCAGGATGAACCCAATTACTATGCACACCCATAAAGGTCTAATTTAAAAAGTGCTTTTTTTGTCAGGGGAGGTGGCACATGCCTATAATCCCAGTGGCTCAGGATGCTGAGGCAGGAGGATTGCAAGTTCAAAGCCAGCCTCAGCAACTTAGCAAGGCGCTAAGCAACTCAGCAAGACCCTGTCCCTAAATAAAATACAAAATAGGGCTGGGACTGTGGCTCAGTAGTTAAGTGCCCTTGAATTGAATCCTCGATATAAAAAAAAAATGCTTTTTGAGCTGTAAAAAAAAAAGCATACTGTATATCTATGCAGGAACATAAAATCTGTGTGCACATGCATATATCTGTGAGGTTAGTGATAGCATATGATGAACAGCACTGACATTCCATCAAGACATGAAAAACTCTGTCTCCTATTCTATTTTCTCCCCCCCAAACACATGCTATTATGAATAGCGATTCATAAAAATGTTGAGACAACTAAAATGTTCATCAGCAAAAGAGTTAAATAAATTATGGTGTGTCAGTAAGATGAACTCTTAACATATCCACTTAAAATGGTGTTTTTGAATTATTTAATGATATAAAAATTGGTACTTAAGTGTAAAATTGGTAAAATTGCACGTTCAATATGAGACAGTTTTCTAAAAATTTATACATAGATGCATTAAAAAGACTTCAATAAAATATATCTAAATGTTGAAATTTTTTGGTTAGTTTATGGGATGATGGATATTTTTTCCCTTTTTCATCTTTTTATATTTCCCAACACTCTAAGGATGATCAGGAACATTCAGAGTGAATTCATGATAAACATTTTTGAAAGGCACAGTCAGGTCTTTGGTTGGAAACAGTGCCATTTGCCAGGTCTGGTTAGTATGAATCCAAAGCTCTTGTGCCAGAAGGAAGTCTTGACCTTCAGGGATCCTGAGTTTATCGGTGACAACCTGGCAGTGAGTGACCAAAAGACTTTTTGATATAGTGGCCTAGGGACTGATCACTTTCAAGCCACATCACCAAGTTGCCCTAATGGCTCAAACACGAACAGAATTAAGACACAAAAAAATCACAGGGCATGGTAGCGCATGCCTGTAATCCCAGCAGCTCAGGAGACTAAAACAGGAGAATGGTGAGTTCAAAGCCAGCCTCAGCAACAGAGACACTAAGCAACTCAGTGAGACCCTGTCTCTAAATAAAATACAAAATATGACTGGGGATGTGGCTCTGTGGTTGAGTGCCTCCGAGTTCAATCCCTGATTAAAAAATAAAAAACCAACAAAAAAAAGTCAGCGTCAGCGTTATCATTCTGTTTAGTCTGTATTGCCTGTCTACTGTCCTGCCACCTTCTCCCCAACTTCCTCCTAATTGCTCAAATGGGGAAAGAGTGAAAGTAGAGGTCCAATCGAAATAATGCCTGTGCTCTGAAGTTCTAGAACTGCAACTCTCACAGATCCCACAGTGCCCTATAGACATACTCAGGACAAAATCATCTATGAGGCATTATTGGTCATACTATGTACATGGCCTGCTAAGGTAGACATAGACCACTGTAGACACATACTGTCCCCTTGGGCATGTACTACAGCTGTCTCAGAGCAACATGGTCACCTTGGAGGAGAAGGGCAGGAAGGGTGGGTCTCAATTTGTCTGGACAGGGTGTGCTAATCTCGGATGTGAATGGGAGAAAAGAGAAGCCCCCTTTTTCTTACTACTGTCTCACTTCTAGGTTTTAGTGGATGGAATAAAACAGTTGCCTCCAAAGAGAGAAAAGACGGCTGGTCACAATGAACACAGATGACCACTGTGTGCCAATGAAGTGGCCAAGTTTTATTTGAAGAGCTGCTTGATGATACAGCAAAGTGGAAGTGTCAGAGTGGTCACCTCCCTAATAGCTGGTAAATACCTTGTTGCCATGACCAGGAATTCCCGAGTCACCTAAACACCAATTGAAGATGCAGAAATTCAAAATAAATTAACTGTTCACTTCACTGAAGGGATGCCAGTAAATGAGAAATGGACAACGGGATCCTCTCACTTAACAGATGTGACTGGTAAGAGCTTCCTGGAGTCCTGGGTTCAGAATTCTGAGACTCAGGGGGAAAGATTAAGGTCAGTTAGCAATGACTGTCATGGATAAGGAGGGTGCAGCTGAGCCTCCTTGTCCCAAATAGACATGCCATCCACCATTCTTCTTGCTAGGAACCAGGTGATACACATTGATCCAAGCTGAAGAGCACTTAACACTCTCCGGCTCATCAGTTTAGCATGCCTTGTTGAAGAGGACCCAGCAGGCCAAGCATGAAGCCAGCTCTCTCCCCCTCCTCTTTCTAGCTCCCTACCTTAACCTTCAAAGCACACAGTCACAGGTCCTAGAGCACCAGCCACAAGGGAAGCCCTCCACTTTAGCAGGAAGTGTTTTGATTGTTTTTGGAAGAACTGCTCACCCCTTACATTTTGCAGGGGTTGAAGAAGAGAAGCCCATTCTTGATGATTTTCTGGGTTGTTCAGGCACTTAGTGCAGGGGCTGCAGATCCACTGAGAGGCTGGGAGGGAAAAGACACTGGATCTGGAGTCCTGAAGCCAGGGCTCTATTTGGTGGGGACATCTGCGCCACAGCATCCTCCTCTGTGAATCGAATCATGAATCATGACGCCTGCTCTAGCTCACAGAGGAACAAAAGATGGAGCTCAAAGACATGCAGGTGCGGTGGTCTGCAAACAGTCCAGCGTCATGGAAACACCCAGCCAGATTCTCCTGCTTCCCTTATGCTGGGCACAGTCAGCTCAGTTATTCAGGGAGTTCCTGCTGCCTCAGTAGACTGCTCCAGCCAGGCTTCTCCGCCTCTTTCCTGCTGTGCTGCTTTCTAGACCCCCCTGCTGTGAATCAGCACTCTAGGAAGTAAAAAATGGTGAACCTCAATCTGTCAGCCTTTTTGGTTTGATTCCAGGCTTGCATTCAGCATTTCACTGAAGGAGGGGATGTCTCATACTTCAATAATGGTGAATATTAACTCACTGTCTGCTAGATATGGTCTTGAGCAGCTTTACATATGCTGATTCCTTTGGTCCTCATAATAATCCTGTGGGGAGGTGCTATTGTCCTGAGGAGGTGCTATTATTATCCCCCTTTACAGGTAAGACCTGGAGAGGCTAAGTAACCTGCCAAACTCACCTGGTAATAGCAAAGCCAGGATCTAAACCCAGGTGATCTGACTACAGACATTCCATACCTAATCATCAGGCTACCCTGGAGATGCTTGTCAATGCTGTGCCTAATAGCTAGATGTTTTAGTGTTTTCTACTGAGAAATACATGTTTTTAAAATATGCAATGCCAGGCTGGGATGTGGCTCAGGTGTAGAGTACTTGCCTATCATGCATGAGGTCTTGGTTTCAATCTAGATGGGCAAAATATTCAAGCTGGGGCTAGGGTATGGCATAATGGTAGAACACTTGCCACAGCACATGAGAGGCCCTAGGTTTGATATCCAGCACCACAAAATAATAAAAAATAAAAAGAAGAGAAAATGTGCAATGCTGATGTCTACATTTATGTATACCTATGCACAGTCTAAAATACCAGAATGAGAATTTGCCTAGAATTCCGAGAATATCATGCAGATATAATAATCTAGCATTCTCATCTGTCTCATTACCATCTATGGAAGCCAAATCTAAATTTAACTCCTGGATCCAAATCTTTCACAGCCAAGAAGAGCCAGATATGGTGGTGCACACCTGTAATCCCAGCAACCCAAGAGACTGAGGCAGGAGGATCACAAGTTCAAAGCCAGCCTCAGCAACTTAAGTGAGGCCCTAAGCAACTTAGTAGGACCCTGTCTCAAAATAAAAAATATAAAGGGCTGGGAATGTGCCTCCCTGGTTTACCACCCCACCCCAACCCCCTGCATAAAAAGACTGGGAACACAGTTCAGTGGTAAAGTGCCTCTGAGTTCAATCCCCAGTACAGAAGGAAGAGGAGAAAGAGAGGAGGAAGGGGAGGAGGAGAAGCAGCAGCAATTTTAGAGTCAGGAGTACACCCTGGTGGGTCCTTCCTTTTATTGTGCCCATGCCTTCTGGAAAAGGAGACAG